ACGTATTTGACCTTCAATCGAACAAAGTATTCCGAATTTTTCAGTTTCTTTAATAAGAAAAATTTTATAAAATAAAAATAGAGATTGTGCCAATACAACTTGTTAAGAACTAAAATATAGAACTTACATATGTTCTTTACTCTCATTATATTCATACAAAATACTTGAAGTGAAAAGTTTTTACTAGACCATAAGAAATGCGTGAGAAATTAGATTTTACTCCGTTTTTTAGCTTTTAAAATTACTATGAGTTTCATATTTTTCCATACTCGAGTCTCTATACTTCTTTTGGGTGAGTTTCCTTTATTATCTCCCAAAAAGGATATGAGGGTGTGTTTCCGTCTAGAGAAAACTATTCCAGAATTGACTCTTATCACATCCAAAAAGGTTTTCAATATTCATGTTTTTTTACTTATACACTTAAAGCCATAGAATATTTAACTATAACTTTCAGTTGCAGTTGGAACAACTGCTTTTCTCGTAGTTCCCAATAGAGCTAGTTGGATACAGGTCTGATCTTTCATAATTGCCACTCTTAAGATAAAAGTCTATAATGACTTATTCATAAACGCTCACCATCAGGATGCCTTGAGAAATATGAAATAAATCCTAATGAAAATATGACGAGTAAGAATTCAGCAAACGTCCAAATTTTCGTCTAGCATATCTCTAAAACTTACACTCACTCTATTTTCCTTCGAAACAAAAACTGTCAATAATTTTACCATCAATTGTTAATGATAATAGTTGAATATCAAATAAACTTTCAATATTCCTTAATTGAATAAGTAAAATGTTTTCATACTAGGTGTTCTTCACATATATTCAAGACAATTGAAGAAAAGAAACGATTAAATGTGTTCGTGCTGTTGCTAATTCTTGTGAAAGTTCAATAACTTGAAATTTTTCTATATAATCACGATGTATAACAAGGAACTCTGACCAAAAATTTAACAATAACAACAAAATGTACTTAATACTGTCGGAATCACTTTCTTACTAGACAAATCTCAATACTATTAATCCAATAAATCAATTAATAATTGATAATCAATATATGCTGTTGATGTATATTTAAGTAAACATTTAATAGGTCGTATCATTAAATGCAGCTAATGTTGTCTACGTAATTGAGCTTTATGTTTATGAATCCATTCGAAATTATTTTTTATTTTTTACATTATCTATTCAATAAAATGAAATTACCCTAAGATAAACATAAAAACGAGCATCCATATCTTTTTCATGTAATATATAAATCGCTTCCATTGTTTTAGCATAAAATTTTCTAAAATCTATTAGAAAAAAATAAAAGTTATATGAAAAACAATATTCGAATTAAAAAAGTAGTTCATCCGAAAATGAAAGTAACGCTGTGTATAAATGAGTTAATGTAACGCAAGGAAATTAAACTAGTTCATCCCTGTTGCAATTAAAATTCAATAACAGTGCCCAATAGTTTAGTGCGAGAAGAATTCCATAATTGTCTATGAAAACTGAAAAGGCCGCAGGCATTCAATCTCGTTAAGCTCGATAATTTTTTTTATGATTTTATTCGACTGCTAAATAAGAAAAAAAATTACGTATTCTTTTTGAAAACTATTGTTTGATTGTTGAGAAGCGAGTTCATATTCAGACTTTGCTATTGTATCGAACAATCAAACAATGTTTGTCGAAGAAGTATACATAGATTTTTTTCTTAAGTGTATGACGAGTAAAATCTTTGAAAAATATCGAATCTTTGAGACTGGGTCATTTCATGATCTTTTCTGCAAATCTAATTTTTGCCATAATAACATTGTTCGAGCCTATCAACAACAAAATATTTTCACAAGTAACTCAACAGACTCTAAAAGAAAAACAACATAACAAATGACAACATACCTTACATGTGAGTGTGCGGG